ATTTCCAGAGCGCTTTTAGACATATGACTCCTCGCAAAGTCTCTAACGGAAGTTCCTCAATCTTTCTTTTTTTTTCTTTTTTCTTTTTTTTTCCCTTATGGGTTTCCTTAGATTCATTTCATGCCATCTATTCAAACAGTGCATTGAGTGTCATTATGAGAGGGATTACTTGTAATGATCTTCATCTCCACGCAGCTGATAAATTTTACTGGGAAATGTGAATTTTTTTTTTTATTATTATTTTTTTTTAGCTGCTGTCTTTCTTGGTTTGCTGTTTTAGTTCAGTTTTTTTTTTCATTTTGTACAAAAAGTGTTAGCAACTTCAAATGACTAATAATGCTCCTCTATACAATATATTCAGCAATGTTAAGCACATTTTTATCATATTAAATTAGAAAAAAATATGTTAAATTAATTAGTCTGACCACTAAATAATCTTTCTAGCATAATGTAGGTCTCTTTACATTCTTACTTTCATAACACCTCTGACCTTTTAAGCAGAGACACTACACTTTAGCTCCACTGGATGCAGTAGGGGTGTTTATGCATCATACATTTTGCGCTTCGTCTCACAGATTGGGATCAATCCTTTTGGCAGTCTGCCGAATAGATTTTTGGAACCAGACTGCTACTGTCAAGAAAACATGCTGCCTTTAAAAATATTCAGTAAAGCCAAGATGATAATACATTTGGGTTGTAATGATATATGCATTTGTACTGATGTCACCCGGGGGTACATGCTGTCAGATGATGAATAAATTAGCTACAGCCCCCCGTGCCCCCCCATCCAGGAGCGAAGAAAATGAGTAGATGAAGATGCCATCCAAAGCTGTCCACAGTGACAACCTGCAGAAGGCTGAACACTCAGAAGCTTGTTTTTAATCATCAGTGCACAAAAGTTTCAGGCAGAAGCAGCTGGGAGCAAGCAGAGGGTACGGCAAGCTCCCGCGTCATATATTATTGCGGTTTGAAACACTCAGTATTCTCCAAAGGTGTGTTTGATGTGTTCTGTGAAGCTGGAATCTCCAGATTCCAAGTCAGGAAAATCCAAATAGAATGTCGACTGAAGTCAAAATTTTGACACAGGATGTTGGAAGTCCTGGAGACACTTACTACTGTTACAGTTCAATATCCAGCATGGCTGCCACACATGTGAAATGTTGTCAGAATTTGAGGAATTCAATTTGCACTTTTAATTGTTTGTACCAAAATAACCCAGAGGCATGCGATGTGCTTTAGCGTGTTATTTTATTGTTTCAAATCTTTACAATAGAGCGAGATCTTCACCATCTTATTATTTTGTTAGCATTGATTAACATTATAACAAATAAATCCCATTGCGAAGAAGATTGGAGTAATCAGTGAACCAGGAACTTTAGTGGAGATAAATCATGCCTAAATACAATATTCTAGCACATGTTTTCTTTCAGACTTAAATGATTATTTTGACGTTCAGACTTCTTTCAGCCTCTTGCAGTCTGCTTTTGAGGTAAGGTTGCTCTTCGACAGTCAAAGAGCACATCAGACTAAATGTCTGGTATTTGATCGTGGCAAATATGCAAATATACTTTAGTAATGTTGAATAACAAAGTTTCCATCATGGCAACTTAAAATACTTGCCCTCATTTAAATCTTTCTTTTTTTAAGACTATTTTGAAATGCTACAATTGATGCAGGTTTCAAAAACACACAAACTTTTATAGGATGGCTTTTCATTTTTTCCACATGACAGTATATGAACTGTACAGTATGCGTACTGAGCAAACAGCACCTGAGCATCAGTACTATTCACCCTGTGCCATTGTGGTTTCACTGTTGTGCTTTAGTGATTTGTATCAATTCCTTGCCCCCTATCTGTCTTTTATGCTATTTTTGTAGAATTAAAAGAAAAAAAAACAGCATTAAATTACAGCAAGGTCTCATCTAAGTCAGCAAAAAATAAATAAATAAATACGGTATTATGATACGAACACCAAAAGTGATTGTATTTTTACCGCAAAAGAGACAAAAATCAAAGTCATTTATTTTCCTGTTATTTTTATTTTCTTTTTTTACGAGGACTCATTTACACAGTAGAGTAAAGAACTTCATGGAGAAGGAAAAAAAAGCAGCGCAGAAGAAGTTAAAGTTGGTCTTTTAAGCTTTCATAAAATGAATTGTCAGCCTGCTGTCACATATCAAGGCTGCGCTTAAAGCAATCCAGCTGGATTTCAGACTCAGGCATATTTCAGAATCAAAAGTAAACTAAATATAAACTTCCAGGCTGAACTTTCAGACTGTATCTGTTTTTCTGTCAAACAAGCTGTCAGATATTTATTCCCAGAAGTGCATTTTTTTATTTTTTATTTTTTTCCCCTCCTCCTGAATAAATTTAGAGCCAGGCTGATTAACTGAAAATTCAGGGCATACAGTTGACGGCAGACGAAAGAGAAATTAAACTGATTATTGCTGAAAGGAGAAAATCAAGATTGTGGCTAACAAAAGCATAAGAGACAGGCAAAAGAATTAATTATATTCATTAAATCTGTGAAATAAATAGACTGACGGGGAAACATGTACTTTTCTAATAGCATGTGAATATTACTGTCTTTATCTTTACAGACTTTTAGCTGTAGGACACACACACACACACACACAGAATTTAATCCACCAACTTGACTTTAAATAACTCGGTAATTGAAAGATAACTCCATAACAAACTTCCCTATTAGTTGAGAAAATATTATTTGGAGACCGCGTGTTAAGCTCCCCTTCATCCAATAAATAGAGCACTGAAATTACAGACTGTTTTCATAATCAGCTTTTGTCATGATCGCCACATTGACACACTGCTCGCCGATACAAGGAGGAAGCAGACATTAGCCCTTCTCTTCCCCTGCAAAGCAGTGGTGGATTGAGCAGTTCAGAGATTTATACCATTATTTACTGCCTTTTACATCAGCAGCTACCACCTCTAAAAGCAGAGGGGAAGAAAAAAAAAATAAATCCACCTTCTTTTTTTTTTATATGCTCGAATGTAATCAAATTATCATTGTCTCAAGCTGTTCGGTGCAAGGCTGATTTCTGTAATTACCCTGTAACCATTAATAAGGCTTGAAAAAGCCATATAGAGTATAATTTTGCCCTGCTGGAAGCCTTCATATATCCCGTTCCTGCTCCATGTAAAAATAGATCCCGCAGGGAACCGACATGAGATGAGCTGCAACCCTGCTCACCATCTCTGACAGGAACGACAAATACCGAATAGTTGTAGTCCTTGGAGGAATTTTTCACATCACCTTGCAAGTTAGTCATCAAGGAATTGTCAAATATGATCAGCGCAGTGTATCTCAGCCTGCGTGGGACCATGTAAAAAGGACCTGAGCTGACCTGACTAGAGTAAATGTGGAGTGTCTCAAACTGAGTGGACAGATAGCATGCAGGGAACTCGTGTGTGTGCCTGCTGAAGCAGTTAAGAGAAATCCCAGCATGTCAGAGTAGGCTAGAGAATTTACAGGTCGTATGACTTATTTCCAGAGTTATGTGGAGGCTCTGGTGGACAAGTCAAGTTGCAATCACAAGCATCGTGCGCCCTAGTGGGATTCGGAACAAAATAGTGCGTGATTGTGAAGCGAAACGGGAGTGATACGTGTTCAGATGTGTTACAAATAAAATAAAAAAAAGTTGAAAACTGTGTGGTGCGTCTGGATTCAGTCCCGCTGAAGTCATTTTTTCTCGGTATAAATACAAATGTTCTCTTACAGAGGTTTGTGGAAGAGCTGTAAAGATTCACTGCTCAGATGGGAGAATCTATTGATAGGAAACTACAAATCTGGCTTTTATGAATAATTGATGAGACGGAAGCTATTGCTGAAAGACGAAGGAATTGAAGAAAGTTTGCCTTAAGCCATGAGGTCGGCACAGCAAACATGAGAAAAAGGATTCTCTAGTCGGATGAAACCGACAGTAAACATTTTAATCTATATGTTAGTCATAACATGTGGTGGATACAGTCAGTCCAAGCACACGATGCGCACTGTGAGACTTATTAGTGGCTGCATCATGCAACGGGGAATACGATGGGAATATTGATGGGGCTAGACACAGAGCAGTCCTCCAGGAGGCCTGCAGCTGTTCTACAACCCCAAACATAGTTAGAATAAACTGGTTTAGATCAAACTGTGTTCTTTTATTAGAATGAGTTCTAAACAGAAACCTCAACAGTCATTTGAAAAGACGTACATGGACTGACATCCTCAATCACGAGATGGACAAAATGATCTTTTAGATGTGCAAACCTGACAGAGCTATTACTGGAAGACGTGCAGCTGAAAATAGTCCTTCAAAGTGGAGATTCGGGTTGACTGAAATCAAAGCTCTACGCAGCTTATATGGTTTTATTTGTAAAAAATAAATAAATTTAAAAAAAAGCAGGTATCCTTTTCCTTCATTTATGCATTACTTTGTGTTGCTCTATTGCAAGAAATGACAAAAAGATATGTACATTTTGTGGCTATAACCTGACTTATTGTGGAAATTTTTGATAAAAAATAATGCCCTGCATCGTGTAATTGAGTTACGTAATCCAGTGTGCATCCCAGTCATTTTATTTTCCATTTTCTGTACCTGCATACAGAGTGAGCCTGTCAAAAACGGTCTTGTCTCCACTGGTGGCGGGTTTCTGTGGAAAATAGGCACACCCATCAGGCCCCATTAGTCTTTACACTGACAGGCCCGCCTTCCACTGAAAGACTCTGTCTAGCAGAGGTTTCTGATTGCCTCAGACACTGGTCGGATATTTTTACTAACAGGCTAAGACACAGTGCCATTTGTTCAGGGCATTTACTGCTGGTGATAATCCTGATTTAAGTTTCCCGCAAGTGGAGAGAGGGACAGAAGACTTTAAATAGTTTCTTATGCTCCCTCCGCAAGTGATGAGACGAGGAGAAGGAAGGTCATTCAGACGGAGGTGTCAACAGGTCTTGTAAAAACGTCTGATAATGTTACCTTCTTGTTTGCAGACGGACGCAGCTCTGATGTACGACGCCGTGCATGTGGTGGCGGTGGCAGTGCAGCAGTCGCAGCAAATCACCGTCAGCTCTCTGCAGTGTAATCGCCACAAGCCGTGGCGCTTTGGAGGTCGTTTCATAAACCTTATCAAAGAGGTAAAAACAGGCCATCGCTTTCACATGGGCTGGACTTTGGAGCTCGCTCTTTTGTTGCATGCGTTTGCTTCGTGCTGTGTTACTCTTCACTTAACAATTTCGGCATCGTTTTTTTTTTTTTTTTTTCTTTTGTTCTATCGAAAACATTTTGTCTTGTTGTCCCTCGTGGTGATCATCATAATCAAACGGACGTAAACATCTCCAACAATTCCCAACCTTCACACCCTCTGCAATCTTTTTCAAAAATGGAATCCAAAGAAAACAGTGCTTTACTCACAATAACAATTATTTTAGGGATGTTTCATTCTCTTTACCCCTGCATTTTCTCTGCGCTTATCTCCTCCTGTGTTTTTATCAAAGCCTTGCCGTCTCCTTAACTCTGATCAGGGTCAGCCATTTGCTTTGTTCTACAAAGCTCTTTCATTCTGCGGATGGTATCATTGCAGGTAATTTTCACAATGAGCCATTGTTGTGCAGCCGGTGCTTCTACCACCACAACAACCTCCCATCCGCCCCTCCAAACCCCGCATCCACACCTCATCCTGCTTCTCCCATCGCTCTCAACGCCCGTCTGTTCCTCCAAACGGCTTTGATGTTAAACTTCAAGCCCAATGAACGACATGCATAATGAACTCTTACCTGTCAAACCTGTCTCTGTTCTTGCTGCTTTATTGTTTCTTGTTATGATGAAGGGGAGAGCCAGCTGGAATTAGAAATTAGTAGAGAAAAATGTTAAGTTTAGAAGAAAAAAAATTTTTTTTTTTTTTTCTTGAAAAGCTATTGTGAAGCTGTGAGACTTCAGCATATTTCTGCTTTCCAGGCTCACTGGGATGGTTTGACGGGACGCGTTCTGTTCAACAAGACCAATGGGCTCCGAACAGATTTTGATCTGGACGTCATCAGCCTGAAGGAGGATGGGCTGGAAAAGGTGTGTCCTTAATTTGGCGCCGTTGATGCCGAGTGATGTCTGATGCTTTAGCTAAAAACAAAATGTTGTTTCTTGCTGCTTTGAAGTCACAAAAGGTGATGTGAACTTGACACTAAACTGTTTGAACAGATTGGAACGTGGGATCCTCCCAGCGGTCTAAATATGACAGAGACTCACAAAAGCAAGACATCCAACATCACTGACTCCCTGGCAAACAAATCCCTGCGCGTATCCACCATTCTGGTAAACGAGAGAAAACACACAAGCACTGCACACTTACAGTATAGAAATGTGTCAGCTGAGCAAAAAAGACAAACAAACAAAAAAAAAAAAACCTCTGATTTCTACACCAGCATGTGTTTTCTTGACAGGAGGAGCCGTATGTGATGTTCAAGAAATCGGACAAGCCTCTATATGGGAATGACCGCTTTGAGGGGTTCTGTATTGACCTGTTGAGGGAACTCTCCGGGATCCTCGGGTTTCGCTACGAGGTGCGATTAGTGGAAGACGGGAAGTATGGATCGCTGGACGAAGGTACGGGCCAGTGGAACGGCATGGTGCGGGAGCTCATGGACCACGTGAGTCGACATTCACAAAGGCGATGTGCATGCGTATTTCTGCTGAAAGCCCAGGTGTGTTGTTGTTGCCCCCTCTCTGAGACTTGAGCTCATCTTTTCTAAAAAACCTCATTTGAAAACTCAGTATGTCTTCAAAATGAGATTACACTCCAGTGCTACTGCTTTTATTTGTGTGCTGCGAATATCTGTGATACAAACCCAGAAACTTAGACAGCTTTAGTGAATTAATGACTGAATCAATTAACAATAAATCCACGTCACCTTAGCTCTTTCAAAACCACAGAGTTGTAAAATCAGCTGTTCTGAAGTGTCAGGTTTTATTACACATGATTTACACTTACCAGTCATTTCATTAAGTCCACCTTGCTGATACCAATTTGGACCATTTTTTTTTTCTCCCTTCAGAACTGCCTTCATGCTTTGTTTTGTAGATTCAACAATGTTTCCGAAACTCTTTTCAGAGATTTCGCCCCTCATCGGAATGACAGAGTCACACAGTTGCCGTAGATTTGTTAGCTGCACATCCATTATGCAACTCTTCCGTTCCACCACATCCCAAAAGTGCTCTGTTTAATTGAGATTTAGTGACTGTGGAGACCACTGGAGTATGGGGGAACTCATTGTCAATGTTCAAGAATTCAGGATTTTGTGAGATGGCGCGTTATCCTGCTGGAAACAGCCATGAGGAGATGGGCGTACAGGGTTGGACATGGCCAGCGTTATTACTCTGGTAGGCTTTTGAACTTTAAAAGTATTGAGTTAATATTAAGCGGCCCCAAACTCTTTCCAATACGCCACTCTAATGTCACGTCACCTGAATGTTGCTGCTGAAATCAAGACTTGTCAGACCAGACAGCAGCCTGTGTGCATTTTGTAGCCTCAGATTCTGGTTGTTAGCTGACAGGAGTGGCACCCAGCGTTGTTTTCTCCTGCTGTAGCTCACATCAAAAAAAAGGCATGTTTGACAACATAACTGACAACACAGCATAACTGTTGCCGGATATTTATCTTTTTCAGATTATTGTCTGTAAATCTGACAGACGGTTGTGCGTGAAAATCCCAGTAATTCAGCAGCTTCTGCAGAACTAAGAACAAACAACCATGCCCCATTTAAAGTCACTTAATTTTCCCTGATTCCCCATTCTGAAACTCTATAGTTCATCAGGTCATTTTTATCAAGTCTAGATACCTAAATAGAGTTGCTCCCTTGTGATTGACTAATTTGCTAATGGTATTAACAAGTAAACAATGTGGACAGTTAAGTTTAGATCATTTAAGTCAGTAACTGCATGCTGTATTTATAGATTATTTACAATAGGCAGAGTCAAGTCTTTGGATAATTTAATCTAGTCTTTGATGTTCCAAAACAAATAAAATCTTAAAGCAACTTAAATCAGTAAACTGTATTAATATGTACATTTTATTCAATCTCCAAGCTAATTATGAACAAAGTCAATAGGAGATGTCCTAAATGTCTAAATCCACTTTGTTTGAGAAATAACAAAATATCTAAAAAACATCTTCCATCATGCGGGAATTTTTTTTTTTTTTTTTACACCTTAACGGTAGCCACACGTGATCAGAGTGTCATGGAAACTAAGTGCCTGCCTACTGTCGGTGTAAACTATTGGAATAATTTGAGTAGATTGTAAAAAAATATCCCGCAACGCTTGTACAAAATACAAGCTGGTGTTCTTTTTTATTATCTGAGCAATGATAGCCATGAGGAGAAGAAGTCCGTGCCAACCACAACATCAAAGAACGTCTTGAGTAAGAACTCAAAACTAAATGGGGGTACACACCGCTGCTGTACAAAATTAAATAATTCTAGGAAGGATTATGTAAAAATACTCAGGCACAAGTGCTAAGCAGGAGCCCAAGGGTCTAATGTTATGTTCAGAGGGGACACAAGGTTAATTTGTCACACATTAATCTACAGCAAAGACTGTTGCCTCTGTGACTCACCTTTGGCGCAACATAAGAAGGATTAGACGTAATACCTGTAATTTCCAGAAAATCTCTGTTTAGCTGAAGCACTATCAATGCCAGTTTCTATTTTTTTTTCTTACATTGGTTATTTTCATCTTCATTGTAAGGTCAGGTCTAACTGATGGAAATCAGTCATTATTTACGCAATGATATTAATAATATTCATTTACTATTTATTTGGTTATTTGTTAGTTGGCTGGCTGCTTGGAGAGTCGTTTATAGTTGTTTGATGAATTACCTAAATTTTGGTCTGTTTGTTTGGTTGATTGGTTGATTGTTCTGGTGTCAGTTTGTCCATTCAGTTGACTGATTGCACTGTTGATTTCTTTCCTTGCCTGTTGATTGGCCGGTCTAATGGTTTCTTGGTTGGTTGATCAATTGGGCAGTTATTCAGTTGGTCATTAGATTGATTGTTCCATTGTTTGTCTGTCTATATCTATTATGTGTCATGTATTCCTCCCCCCCCCCCCCCACCGCAGCCACACCCACTTCTGTTTTTTTGAACAAGAAG